CAGCTCAGAGGTAAATCTATACCTGGGCAGTCAGGTAAGGCAGCTACCTCATAAAGCATTCCATCTAAAAACATACTTCGCAGTCGGCAAGGCATTGACAGGCTAGCCTCAGACAGAAGTCTGCATTTCTATTGGATGCCCGGTCACAAGGGAATAGAGGGTAAAGAGGTAGCAGAAGAGACTGCCAAGAATGCAACCAGTCTGACCCTCGAACAGACAAACTACATTCGTAGACCACTCCAACACTTGTACAACGAAATAATCGATAATGTGATTAGGCAGTTCAGAGCCAGATGGCATGAGCTTACCACGAAATCTGCAAAAATTATGTGCAAAAACAGCAGCAGCAATTATACTCGCTTCGGGCTAGCGCTATCAAAGAAAGATTGCAGAGTTATTAGCGGATGGCTTACGAGGAAATACGAGGTCCAATTGGCAGTGATAAGGACCTACCGAATATGAATATCGCTATCTTCTGAGATCATCTCAACAAACTGTACGGTCAAGCCAGAGATTGTTTAATCTAAAGTACAGCTTTCTGACTATTACCACGTAGTGAAAAAATTTTCCCAAAACTGGGACTAATAAAAAAAAATACATTTTCATGCAACGCTCAAACGCATAAGCTACATTATTTTGGTAGCACATTATTTTGGCTCGCTATCTTTGACTGGCACCGGCAGACAGCAACAAAACGAGCACCAAATAGCTGAAATATCCAAAATAAATGCTGAGTGCCATAAAAAGGGCGTGGTTGCAAGGCAAAATGGAAAGCGAGAGTAAACCTGCCATATATACTAATATAGTATACATATTAAGAAACTTAACTGACAGCGCGCCAACAACAAATACGCTAACACATTTTTATGAAAAATATGCAAACAAATTTGGCTTTTGTAGCTACATAACTGTGTACCTTAAATTATGCAACAAGCGCCAAAAGTAACTTCTGCTACTTTATTTTGAGTAATTGTGGCACATTTATCGTGCGCAAGCAAGCAAAGTAAACGGCGGGAATGTAAGAACGGAGAAGACGAAGAAGAAGACGTGCAAGTGAAGGCAAAGGTATAATGTTGGCGCGCCGCACATGCTGCCACACTACCCAAAACACTCCATTAGTGACACACCAAAGCCAACGCGCTTGCATGATTGTATGTGTGGGGAGCAGGATGAGTGTGTCAAGGTGAGAAAGAGACAGGGAACTTGAATGTAAATGGCATAGTGACTTTTCAATGCACTCGTTTGTTCTATGCTTCCGTTTGCTTTCGACTCTTCTGCTTGTACATATGTATTACTTCAATTTTTCTTATCAGCATTTGCTTGCACGTCTTCCATTTTTTTTTTTTTTTTGGTGGCTTTTTGCGACGCATTTTTCTATGCCACATTTGCCTTATTACTTGAGTATACTTTCGTTGTAGATGTGATGGTGTGCAAAGACAAAAAATTGCAAAAATTATTGCTTTGGTGCGCCACATCATGAATATTGTAGGTATGTATGTCCATTAGGGCGTGTATTTTTTTTTGGATTATGCGCGTATTGCATAGAAGGATTCCACGTGTAATTCTAAGCAAATTTTCCGAAGAAACCATGGGTCTAAAATCAATATATTTGGAGTTTCCCAAATTGTGAAAAGAGGTTTCGAAGAACATTTGAAAATTTCCACTGTTACTCCCTCTGTGGAAGTTTTAAGAAAAAGATGAGTGCAGAAATGAAAATTGATTTTTGACCCATGGTTTCTTCAGCAAATTTGGGTAGAATTAAACGCAGAATCCTTCTGTGCTATAAGCGCATAGTTGAAAAAATTTCCCCATACAAATTGATCGCGCCCTAATGTACATATATGAATGTATGTATGTTAGCTTCATATTATAGGAAAATAGATTTTGAATGGCAAATGAGAGGTGAGCTGGTTCAAGCTCTTCTTTGGCAGCGCTCAACAAAGCCAACGTGGAATGAAATAATATGCTAATATGTTGCATACACCTTGGTGGTGGCGATAAAGTCTACAGTAATTTTTTGCGATTTTTCTAAGGTTTTATAAAATACCCCGAGCACTTTTCAAATGAAAATTGAACAAGCCAATTTTTCAATTTTGGCTAAAGAAAAATATTTAGGACAGTGATGGCCACTAAGTTGCTCTTCGGAACGGCCCGAATACGTAGATAAAAAGATACGAAGCCACAAAATAGTTGGCAGAAGAATCAATGATATTCACAAATGGAAACGATTGTTGGGTTTCAAATGTATACAGAGAAGACGGGCTTAGTACAAGAAAGTATATGATTTAATCCTAGTCCACACGTATCTATGCTAAGAAATATTCCGCTAACTCCTAAATCATTAACCGAGTATTTAAGAGCTATTATGGACAGTAAATAAACTGACATAGTCGAATGTGAATAAGACGGTTAAGAATGCCTCCAAGGATTTATACGCTTGAATGAACGCGCTCGGCTTACTCTCTGGATAAACACGGCAGTCATTAGACCAAGACTGCTCTATGGTACCTTGCATAATTTCCGGCGGTCAAGTGCCATATAAGAGGACTTATTAAAGTAATAAGTTCAATGACAGCTCAACTGATGCCAAGTCTAGCTGGGTGCCTCCTTCAACTCGTCCGGAGTTTATTGCCGACTCTGCATGACTTAAAACCACGCTGAGGTGGTAAATGATGGTTACCATTGGACACCGGGTGTCTGGCCCTTTTTAATTGGATTTTTATTTTATTTTTTGACTTGTAAACAACCAGGTCTCCTCACTCACTCAGTTACTTACACTACTTACCAAGTTTTTTCCATTTGTGTACACCCGCATACAGTCGATAGTTTATGGAACATCCTCGGGCAAGGGATTACTACTTTATACCCTATGCCGAATGTTATTACTGCTGAACGAGGTCTACTCAGAGCAAGCAACTGTTAACGAGATATTTATCTTATTGAGGAAATGTTTGGAGTAAAATCTTCTTCTTCTTTTGGCAGGAACCCATCTGGACTACTCAGTCCTTCTAATGTATGGCTTTTAGGACTAATGGCTGTATGTATGTATGATATGTTAAATTAACTTGGCAGGAAAATGAGACCTCTTCTTAATGCTATCAAGCTTAGGGTTAGGCTTTCTTTACACCTAATACCTTTTTTTAGTTATAACCATTTTCCGCTCCTTTGGTCTCCAATTTCCTTTAATGATCAGAACAAAGCAGAGCAAAGGTAGCTGGATTACGAGCTTCCAAAAGCTGGATAGTAACTCAGGAAATTTTAGTGCAACATTTCCCACATTCCATTTTATCACTCCGTTTTGTTCCCATCTTAAACTAGTAGGATGGTGTGAGACAGTGTCCCATAAGGGTATAGCTGGGACGCCTTTCAAAAACTAAAGATTAGAAATCGATGCGATTATGTCGTAAGCAACTCCTTAAACTCCTCCAAAGAATTTATCGACTATGAAACTGGAAAAGTATACTTCCTGTACTTTACAATAACCACTCTATAATACTCGTAACTAAGAAAAACTTGAACAATTATATGCGTGAACAACTATAACGTTAAACATTCATTACGCATGAAAACACATCTTAAACTTTTCACGTTAAATAATTCCTTAACCATTCATACGCTAAACATTATCGAAAGCGCCTTAAGGTATGCAATTTTACGCATGTGACGCCAATTGCAGTTTAAATAAAATGTTTCCTGCGCATATTTGCATTTCCTTGCTGCTGTTGCTACAAAATATACATATATGCAAACCTACTTACATGCACACATATGTGCTCCACAAAACTTTTATATCTGCTCATTTGCCATTTGTAGTGGCGGAAATAAATGCCGCTGCACATTTGGTTGCCTACCAGCAGGCGCAGAGTGGCAAAAGCAACAGCTGTTAGAGAGTAAACTGCTGCTTCAACTTTTAACTTTGCTGCAGCGCCAACTTTGAGCTGCCATTAGTAATATTCCCGAGTTCTCGGCTCGCCGCTCTCTCCACTCAAACACACATACTAAGAATTGCACATGCACAACTGGAAACACCATGCTACCGCCATTGCATATCTTCCGGCTGCCATTACTCTCGTTGATTAGCAACATTAGCGGTGGCAGGTAGGTTGCAATTTGCAACGGCGCATATGAAATAGATGTGCATATGCAACATATTGCGCTATATGTGTAGAAAGAAAATATACAAAATTTCGAACCTATGCGGGGCAACAAAACGTAACGGAGCAACACTACTACGTAAGTACGCAATAAAGCAGCCTAATGGTAGGCAACACAAGCGAAGCGTAAATGAGAATGTGGCCCATATTTAAGTGCGTATTCGTGTGTGATCGATGAGCGCTTCAACTTCTCCGAGGCACATGCGGATTTCGAGTCAACTCCTTAGAAGTAATCAGCATAATTTGCGGCGCCACCAAAAGCAGCAGCAAGCGCGACTGTTACAGCAAATGGCGATAAGTCAAACAAAATGCTTCAACAACGCATATTTGAGGCATGCAAATTTGCATTGTAGCGCGGCAGCGTGGCAATTGGATGCCATTTAATTGCAATGCCAGCTGAAGCATGCGAGGATTCACACTCAATTAGTTAAGTAGAATTGGGTTTGGAACATTTCGAAAATGAGCAAACACTTGGCTTGTGTACATACATATGTACATAGATGAAGTTGTAGATAGTAATTAGAAGCAAAGAAATTGTATTTAGAACGAGCGTTAAAACTTAAGCAGAGAGAAAGTTTAGTGGAGTGTGTTATGCGGTTTACTGCAGCGGTTCATTGACTTAGCGGCCTAAATGTAAGCAACAAAAAATTTATGTACATCGGGTTTGGAACAAGCTCTCTAGGAAATAATGATAACTATAGTCCTCCTAAAGTCGTCCCTAAAATAACCGTAAACTCTCCGAAAAA